GTCATTAGCACCTCTAGTAATATATTTACCGAGAAAAATGGTGACGTGTTCAATACTTATTTTACCCTCTGTAACCTTTACTGCAAACCCAAATGTAAATAAAAAGAAAAGAACAGCAGAACTTTGACTCACATCTTTATGCTCCACTTAAACACAAATAAGTAGATTAGCAGTTAGGTGAAGGAGGCCATGTAAAGGAGTGAAGGACATCGCAATACTGTGCTTTCAGTGTTAACACATGACCACAGAGAGGAAGAAATAAAAGGTTTCCAACAAAAAAAGATGTTATCAATAGTATATGTTCACAAAGTCACAAATAATAGCTATGCAAAAAAATAAAAACTGTTTTAAAGTGTCTTCATGTCTGTTTTTTATGCATTTCTTTTTATTTTTTGCTTGTTTCTTTTGTCACTCACACACGTTTTGCAAAAACGAATTGTTTTCACCAACATGTTAAACAAATCCTGAGCCCAAAAAAGTAAAGAAAAAGAAAGGCTCTTCATCGTCTCTTGACTTCTAAAGCCAACTGAACTCAAAGTTTCTTATAAGCTGTGTATGACTGAGACCCACTCACTGACAGTGCAGTCAGTGTGTGATTGTCACTGGTGGTGCACAGGGCAAGAAGACATCTGATAGCTGTTTACTGAACATGTGAGTCTAGTTTGTCTGCCACAGAACTGATGTTCCACCTTGGCTCCATGACCTCCAACAGCTTTATTTGCAGATGTGAGACATTAAAGTGTTTTATTGTGGCCCGGCTGTGCTGTGTGCTTAAGTTAGTAACCATAAAGGTGACAAAACATCCAGTTTTTATCCGTCATAGGACTCAATTCGAGTGTTCAGTCTCCAGCTGCGGGTTTAAAAATCCACATCGGTGCTCATGGCTGGTTCTCAGCTCAACGCTCCACAGGCTGATGCTCGTTAGCTGCAGCTCACCAGTTCAACGGCAAATCTCCCCTGCACCCCGCAAAAACAAACCAACAAAACAAAACAAAACAAAAAAAAAAGAACGTAAGAGTGTTGGATTTGTAAACAAAGGCGTAGAGAAGGTACATTTGAGGGCAACGGTTAAAAGACGGAGGGCAAACGTAAACAAATGCAGGAGCTTTTCAGGGGGAGAATTTTCTCAGGAGCATTGCAGTCTTTGCAGTTTTGAGACGGAGCTGGGCAGCAGGTGGGTGTTCTGGCTCGTCGGTGGTCCGGCTAGTCTGGTTTGAAGATGGGGATTTTAGGTAGGAACTCTATTAGGATTACCTGCAGAGGGTCAAACAAACAGGCATTTAGAGATGAAGTCACTAAAGGTACATAACCTAACATTGCTTTAAAAAGGCAGTAATTACTTTCCCACATTGTTTCTACTCACACTGCTACCAATGTTCATGTTTTATTTCATCATTTTGTGCAACTGAACAATGACGAGCAGTGTCAGGTAATGACACCCACAAACATACTCACATATTCCATCATGTTGTTGGTTTCACACTTCCTTTTACTAAGTTTCCAATGCAAACACAACTGTAAACGGAAAGACAGCGATCAGAGATTTCGTAACATTTTGCAAAGACCTGATATCAAACACTGCACGCCCATTTTCACAATCACAACACACCTTGTGGTAAAGTCTGTTGTTTTCCCACTCCAAAAGTTTCTCCATCGATCTTCTCGTCTGGAAGGCACACGTGAGATCAGATCAGATCCGATGTCATACAAACTGTGCGACATTAACGTGTAACTCAACGCAACTTCGGTCTTGAGATCCGCAGAAGTCCAGTAAGACTCACCCTCTTGCTGAGACAGATGACGGGCCACAGGCTGAAGCCCAGAGTGCAGCAGCAGCAGAGGCAGCCACACAGGAGCCACCTCACGTTCACAGGGAGGGTCTTCCTCAGACAGCTGTTCACACGGTTTATACTGGCTTTGAATTCCTCCGGCGCCACCTAATGGAAGCCCACAAATATAAAACAGTGAGTACACTTTCACTGAAAGCATTCTTATTTGTTACATTTTAAAAACATGAACTACTACAGAAAATGAAATCTGTTTTAAACTAAGATCAGCTTTGTTTAAAGAGACATGACAGAGCTGTAGCCACTTCAAAATTTATAAAGCTCACTTACTCATAATCTCTATATATTGGAAAAACTGCCAGCCATCAGAGTATGAGTATAACTCTCAGCTACAACCACACCAGACTTTAGCTTAGTGTTTGTAAATGATCGATTAGTAGCCATCTTAAACTGAACTGTCACCAAAAGTTAACCAAATTTGATGTACACCAGTGATTACTTTCTCTGTTTCATAACAATTTGAGCTGTTGTTTATGAGAAATTTTACAAAGACGACTGAGAAATGAACACGCACAAACAAGGTAATTCATAACTCTCCATGTGCATCTCACAGCTTAACCACCCCACATCTCATAACAAATAGAGACACTAATCTCTTTTGATTAAAAACGTATTGCAGCTTAAACATGAGTTTATAAAAGAAAGGAATCTGTGGAATCCTTTGAAAAACCTTCGGACTGAACGTTTAATCTTTTTCAAGAAGAGAAAAAATGTTAAACACTTGAAGCAAGAGGTCATGTCACGATGGTTAAATCGCATTAAATCCCAACAGTACTGAATATTGAACCATGAGGGAAGAAAAAGCACCAAAATAAGATTATTTGCTAAAGCTGCCTTCAATTTAAAATATTAAATAATAGCAAATAAAGGACAGTTTTATGACAAAATGAAGACAAAGTGCAGGAGGTACAGTTAATACTTTACGTTGGTGTGTTTTATGTGTCGTCTGCTGAGGATAAAGACAAACCAATATGAGAAACAAGGACACAATATTTAACTTAATTAAACTAGGACTGCTTTAAATGACCGCAAACACATGGTGATACCTAAAAAATATCTAAACAAACATGTACTCCAGCCTATTATCATCCATTTTCTTTACTTGCTTCTTTCCTTTCCTGGTTGCTGGTGTCTGTCTCCAGCAGTCACTGTAGGAGAGGCAGGTTATACTCTGGACATGTTCCAAGACCATCACAAGGACATTAGAGACAAACAACCACTCACACTCTCTCACACCCAGGATGACGCCTGACTGTGACACATAACTGAAGCGTGCTGTACTCATGCAGTGTTCAAAATACTAACACACTAAAATGTCCTTGTTTCCTACTTAATCTGCTACATTGTGACCACTGTTTGGAGGAAAGGAGTGAGCAAACATTTCAAACAGTCTTGAAATTTAAAATAAAGTTGATCTTGCATTCGATCAAATGCAATAATGTAACCTTGCCATAAACACTTTAATGATTACAAACACACTCACCTTTCCTGTAAGTGCCGAAGGAAATTCTGACTCAAATTTGTTACTGAGTCCAAACCTGTACGGGGAACAGAAGCAAACCAAAAAAATGTATTACCAAGCAGCCTTTAGATGTTTATTTTTATTATTATTATTTTTGCTTCAATCGTCTTCAGCTACATAACATTTTTCCCCCTTAATTTGGATTTACCCCCATGTTCTGAATGACGGCTAACCAACACCAGCACGTCACTAGTATAAACAACACAATAAGCTCATTTGTTGGCTAAAATAACTCAATAAATTGTGGGTTCTCAAAATGTGTTTGTCATGTTTGGGGATAAAAAGAACCTAATTTCAGCAGCCGCCTTCGTTGCTCACTAATTTAGCCTACTTTGAAGTTAGCAGCTGAGCTAGCGAACTCGGCTAATTCTTGTTCACCAGCGCCGGGTGGTTGTCCACAGGGAGCCGCTGCATGCTGAGACTCCTTCATCGGCCACACAGACCCCCGTGAGCCCCGCCGGTTGCTTACACAGTGACGTGGCCGGAGCCTCGCACCACCACCGGGTCCGGTGCGTACTTGAGGAGCTGTTCTTCCGCGGCCCTGTCCTCGTCTTCTTCTTCCTCCTCTTCGTAGATCTCGTCAAAGTCCTCCATCATCTCACGACGACTCGGGGCGGGTCTCTGCCCGGTACAGACCCCGGGAGAGGCGCTTCGATGAAAAAACTTGGCAGGGGAAAGCGTCCGAAGCGGGGAGGATTGGCCCAAAAAGACCAAGAAGTAGTTCAGATCGCTGACCAAGCTACGGAACAAAACATCAACATCCGCCGCAGTTACTGTTCGACACCGGAAGAAGACGGAAGACGTACTTTCCGACGTACGGACGTAATTTTACGTCGTACGGAACTAACCAGGGTCTGTTAGGAGCGGCAGAAAACAGGGTAGCATCTCTTTTCAAATACGACAAAACCGGCTGTGAACTGTTAATTGATTAATCAAAAGCAACTTTTATCAAACGTGTTGTATTGGGCTGAAAATTATATACTTCCTGTTCCGGAAGTGAACAGGCGGTCTGTTTAGGATCGTAAACCCTCGTGTGTTTTTGAGGATGGCGCTGACAGAAAACTTTAAGATGTTTGTAAAAGTTTTGAAGGATGTATTTCCGGTTCCCACAAGCGGGATTGTCACAGTGGCTTTATCCTCTTGTGTTTTGTTTTGCACGAAGACATATTTGAACTTGACTCAGGGCATCCTCAGCATTGGGTCAGGTGTCTTTCAGAGTGGACAGGTCCACAGCCTGCTCCTGTATCCCTTCTACCACCAAACTGTTGCTCAGCTCCTCCTGAACATCACAGCCCTGCTGTTGTTGTGTGGCAGCAAGGAGAAAAGTGTGGGCACTGTTCGCTTCCTGTACACATTCCTCCTGCTTTCCTCCACAACCGGCCTCTTTTACAGCTTGCTGGACTTCCTGCAGGATGAAGACATGCAGACCCACGCTGAAGGTCTGCTCCCAGTGACTTTGGCCTGCGTGGCTCTGACCACCATGCACACAAAAATGACCAAAGGTTTCCTGTGTGGAGTCAGTTTTCCTTCCGTGGCCCTCCCATGGGTCCTCCTCATGATCTGCACTGCTCTGATTCCTCGTAATGTCCTTCTCTGTAACGTCATCGCCATCCTGATCGGCTGGGTGTATGGAAAAGGATGGTTCTCTCTTATCGACATGTCTGAGGCCAGGGCTGCAGTTCTGGAAAAGATGGTGCCGTTCAGGTTGTTGAAGAGTTTCAGCGGAGGGATGTTCATTCCTGCGTCCGCAGAGGAGAGGAGGAAGACCCTGCTGCCACAAATCAACCCCACTCCTGGGTCTTACCCGGTCCAAGCCTATGCTCCTTTATCCAGTTTCAACTCAAACACCACAAGGACAGCCTATGAGGGCTGGCCACATTTAACCAGTTCTTTTCCTAGTTCTGCACCAGCTCCCAATCTTCATGGACATGCTCATATTGTTGGACACAATCATGGACACTCCTCAGGCCCGAGTTTCCCACACAGCTGCAACCACAGTCATGGACAAAAACAGTAGTTGTGCTCATTATTGTTGGTGTGTGCATTTGTTCCATTTGTCTTTATCATTTGCAAAATAAAGAATCATGAACCACTGGATGAATTAAATTCAATTCAAAAATACTTCATTGATCCCAGACGGAAATTAGGTTAATGATATGATAATATGACCCCTTTATGATAATATGATAATAATTAATGATAATCTGAATGAATGTTTACAAGTTTTTAACATTTGAAGTCAACTTAAATAGAGATGTTTGCTACAACTCATTTATCTTTAAATACAAATGATTAGAACTTAACTCAAAATACAGATAAAATTGTAAAGTTGAAGTGGTAGTACCTGTGAGTTCTCATCCACACAAACAGCGTTACTCATTTTGTGGGATGTGGCTTTGGCAGCCATATTAAATTTAAATTGCATGTACACATTTCTCCAAGGCAGGGGTGTCAAACTCAGTTTGTCAAGGGCTGATACCCTGCAAGTTTTCCTTGTTTTTCTGCTCCAACATGCTTGTTTTCTTCAAATTCTGTATTCATGCAAATAGGAAACATGCTGGATAGTGACCCCCAAAGACTGAGAGTTTGACATGTGCGCTAAGAAATGCTWTATCTTTCATTTGTTTGAAGGCTTGAATTTATTACTGTTTTTACATGTATTGTTATGACTTCTGTTTAGTTTTACAGCATTTCCATTTAAGGACTTTGTAAATAAATTGTTTTTTTTCCTGCTTTTATAGTTTGTAAGTAAAAATGTAATTGGTGTCTTTTGTTGCTTTAAATTTTACAAATAAATGTTTTTATTATCATTTTTACTTGGAAGATAATGCTGTGAAACAATCAGTCATCCAGTCAGTTTTATTCACACTTTCAATGTCATACTGATCCCAAACTTATACAAGAACATAAACAGTGGTGATCGAGACCCCCGTGTCCTGCAGCATCGCTGGCACCACAGCACAGATCCTGGCCTTCATTCGTAAAGAAAGAGCTCATTCTTCCCAAKTATCTCCATAGATATTCTTTTTCGCTGAAATGCAAAATGGAGAAAACATTAATTCTTTAGTAAAATAACAACCTCCTTCCCCCCTCAGCCACCATGTTTTAATCTCTCTGCAGCAGCAGTGTACCCGCTTTCTTTGGTATTTCTGGCTCCTTCTCTGAGGACGCTTTAATCATTGTGTCAGCTTTCTGATTGAGCATCACCTCGTAGTTCTCCCTGTTTTTGAGTCTAAGGTTTTCATAGAGGATGGACTTCTTCTTAGGCTCCTCCTCCTCCTCATATGACTGAACTGAAAATAACAGGAACACAAAAAAAGATATATATGATCTGAAGTTTATTTTGAAAAAACTATAAAGTGGAAACTATGGTCACGGGTGAGCTCAGTTTTACTGCMAGAACATGTGCATCCTGCTCCATGTTGATCTACTAATGAATTATTATACAAATGTCTGACTAGCAGGAAAACTTAAATAACTAGTGGACAAAATCAGAACATTTCTTGCTTGAATTCCTAATCAATACTGCAACATTTTCTGCTGAATTTTTGCTTCGCTAATAAAGTTATGACCTTTATTTTGTGTGTGTGTGTGTGTGTGTATCAGGTACCTGGAGAGCTAAAGTCATCTGGCTTGCCCATTTGCCCATCATCACTGGTGAAGCTGGACATGCTGCYYTGTGTGTCTGCTGGTTGGAACATGGAGGTGTCATATGAAGGGASGTTTTGGTCACTCAGCTCCGATGGAGCGCTGAAACCGAGAGGCAATGCCGAAACAAGAAACAACAAAAAGCTTCAGAGTCTGATGCTGACAGAAAACACTGCTGACGAAACAGGCCGGTATTTAATTTAATACTTCAGTCATTTAAAAGTGTTCAGGGCAGCAGTATGAACTGTATCTGAACCTGTTGTAGACAGATCTTAGAACATTTCAGTTTAGAAACATAAATTCAATTTCTATTAAAACTAAAATGAGCCAATTATTAATTAAGCACAGCTTTCATGTAGAACACAGATTTAAAATGAGCAAAATATCCCTTTGACGAGCACGAAAGGTGGGCGTGTCCCTCTCACCTATTTTGAGACATCCCTTTCCTCTGTCTAATGAGTTCTCCCACAGGTGAGTTTGGTAGGTTTTTGAACTTTTCCATGCACTTTGGTAGGTAGGAAAGTTTCCCTATGATGTAGCCACCTGCGGCTGCAACTGTGACATAAAACATAACCACATGTTATTTTGAATCCAAATGGTAAACAAGTGTTTATTTATGCATTTTTTAAAGCTCATTAGTATAACAGCTGCTCCTTTAGAWAACATTTTATTTAAAATAAGGGTAACATGAGCTAAAAAAATGCATTGTCTTAAATAAACCACAGAACAATCAGTTTAAACTTCTGCCTTCAAAACAAACAAAAAAAAATCCTAATGTAGATTTTATAAAGATCCTTTTGAAGTTGTGTGAAAACTACTTCCTGTATGCTGCTTTACAGCTTGTGATGTTTAACTGTACATTTTGTGTTGTGTTGAACTATGAACTTACAGGCCACTTTAGGTACAGATCCAAACCTCGGTGATGCAGACCAAATCCCTACAAAATTCAATAAAAAAAGATTTGTAACCAATTTAAAGCTCAATAAATGAACAAACCACGAACAGGACGTGTAAAATCAGCACAATACCTCTTGTAATTAAGTACTCCGTGACAGCCATGCTGATGAAGGAGAGGGGAAGAGCTGTGAATGGGGGGGAAAAAGTTTAAAAAAAATTCAACCGATAGGAAATTAAAAACTGTTAGTCTGACATCCATGCAAGGACTTACATCTGTAATAAAAGCTCTCCGCTACGCACTCCTCCATCACCTTCATCTCTTCATCTGTGCGGGTGTGGCCTGGACGCAGCACATCCTGCAGACCATCGCACATCTTCAGTCGGGGTCATTTGATTCTGAATCGCCTAATCATCTAAAATGGTCTGTCTTTGTAATAATTACAATAAAGTCATGATAAAAGCATTTGAATATAGTTTGTGTAAAATCCTAATACAATTAAGATATAACTTTTTAAGTTTTATCTTTGTTACAGTTTTCAGTAAACTGGGATAAAGATTAGCTGAACATCCAGAAAAACACTTGCCTTTATGTTCTTTTAAATTTGACACCAGTGAAACGTTTTGCAAACACAACATAGTCCTTTCGGCCCCGTGGAGCTTTCATATATTAGTATTAATTTTTGTCAATAAGATGATAGATTTTGTTAATGTTTGTAGGTGGCTTAGTTAGTAGTTGATTGTGGCATGCTGTATTACACTACACAAACAGTGCATTTATTGTTTTACACCTTCTAGTGTTTAATCAGTTATATGCATTAGTTTTTAGTTCAGAGATTCATCATAATTTAACAAGCCGCCATGAATAAATAATATGATGCAAATTTAAAATATATTTTGGGAGTAAATAATGATTTCAGATAATCAAAAACAAACACAGCAAAGATAGGTGACTTTTTCGTTTAATCTTCATCAGATACTTAATTCTCACAGTTTTCCCCACAAACTGGTGAGATTAAAACTTTAAAGTAAAGCCTTCCTGATAAGTCTCGTCTGCTCTTCATCCACCAAAGTCAGACAGTAGTGCCAGCTAGCATTAGCATGTTAGCACCTCTAAGGCTTGTTTGTTTGTTTGTTTGTTTACCTTAGGAGATATGTTCTGCCGCTCCTCCGTAAAACTCTCAGGGGTGGACATATTGACGCAAGACTTGCACTTGACTAAAGTTTTAAAATCGTGCACATTAATAACATTGTCATTCAGCTGGCTAGTTCATTGTTTGGGACAAAGTCATGGCTCCTGCGCACGCAGCTGATGTAACCCGGAAGTGAAATAAAATCCTAATTACCTAACGCTATCACTTAAAGTGTTCTTGCCATCATTGGTTTATAAAAGGATAGACACATGAAGATTTACTGGATGCAGAAAAAAGAAAAAAATACCCACTTCGATTTTATATGTTTATTCCAAATTGGCGTCTTTTATTTTGAAACTGAAAATCGCATTTGAAGGTGTCAATCGCCTCTTATCGCCCCCTAGAGGTCATAGACCATTATTACAGCCATCTTACAAAATACTAACAAATCATGTCTGCACAGAAGTGGCTTTATTTGATGTCCAGCTGTTGAAAATGGGTTGGAATGTCTTGCTGAAATATTCAAGGCTTCACAAAACAGACAAACAAACAGAAACTTTGTGTGGATGGGAGCATATNCATTTGAATATAGTTTGTGTAAAATCCTAATACAATTAAGATATAACTTTTTAAGTTTTATCTTTGTTACAGTTTTCAGTAAACTGGGATAAAGATTAGCTGAACATCCAGAAAAACACTTGCCTTTATGTTCTTTTAAATTTGACACACCAGTGAAACGTTTTGCAAACACAACATAGTCCTTTCTGCACCGTGGAGCTTTCATATATTAGTATTAATTTTTGTCAATAAGATGATAGATTTTGTTAATGTTTGTAGGTGGCTTAGTTAGTAGTTGATTGTGGCATGCTGTATTACACTACACAAACAGTGCATTTACTGTTTTACACCTTCTGGTGTTTAATCAGTTATATGCATTAGTTTTTAGTTCAGAGATTCATCATAATTTAACAAGCCGCCATGAATAAATAATATGATGCAAATTTAAAATATATTTTGGGAGTAAATAATGATTTCAGATAATCAAAAACAAACACAGCAAAGATAGGTGACTTTTGTTTGTTAATCTTCATCAGATACTTAATTCTCACAGTTTTCCCCACAAACTGGTGAGATTAAAACTTTAAAGTAAAGCCTTCCTGATAAGTCTCGTCTGCTCTTCATCCACCAAAGTCAGACAGTAGTGCCAGCTAGCATTAGCATGTTAGCACCTCTAAGGCTTGTTTGTTTGTTTGTTTGTTTACCTTAGGAGATATGTTCTGCCGCTCCTCCGTAAAACTCTCAGGGGTGGACATATTGACGCAAGACTTGCACTTGACTAAAGTTTTAAAATCGTGCACATTAATAACATTGTCATTCAGCTGGCTAGTTCATTGTTTGGGACAAAGTCATGGCTCCTGCGCACGCAGCTGATGTAACCCGGAAGTGAAATAAAATCCTAATTACCTAACGCTATCACTTAAAGTGTTCTTGCCATCATTGGTTTATAAAAGGATAGACACATGAAGATTTACTGGATGCAGAAAAAAGAAAAAAATACCCACTTCGATTTTATATGTTTATTCCAAATTGGCGTCTTTTATTTTGAAACTGAAAATCGCATTTGAAGGTGTCAATCGCCTCTTATCGCCCCCTAGAGGTCATAGACCATTATTACAGCCATCTTACAAAATACTAACAAATCATGTCTGCACAGAAGTGGCTTTATTTGATGTCCAGCTGTTGAAAATGGGTTGGAATGTCTTGCTGAAATATTCAAGGCTTCACAAAACAGACAAACAAACAGAAACTTTGTGTGGATGGGAGCATATGCCAAAGGTGCTGTCCCAGATGGGTAAGGTGCCCATGGAAGAGGCATCCCTATACCGCCAGAAAGGCGTGCTTTTCTTTTGAACTGTCCATGAAAATAAATAAATAAATAAAAATAAAAAAATGAAATAAAAAAAGGAAGTTCCCTATCTTCATAACTATGGAGGATGTGGCATATTTGGCTTCCAAATCAAGTTTATGACCATAGAATAGATGTCCACTTTACCTCAATCCATTTTAAATTCAACAATACTTTATTAATTCCAAAGGGAAAGTAAAATGAGTTCAGCCAAGACTGTCACATTTCTGGATTGTGTTAAAATATGCTTTCTTAACCGTAAATATCACATGCAACCAATTTTAAGTGAAATTTAAATGCATTTTCACCGTTTTAAATTTGCTGCTGCACTCAAAATGTAGTCGTCTTTGACAGGAATTAAACCAACAAACACCAMACACTTTTGTTTGTCCAGAATAATGAGCTGCAGTAGCGTTGCATAAAGCCTAGGTGATGCTGCTGCACTTATGATCCAAAAGCACTGCAGTTTTCTCATCCTTTCCATATATTTGCATTTAAATAAAAACAGTGTTTGCATRCTATCTACTGAAAAACCTAAATATAGCTGTGAGTTTAATTCTTTTTCTGAATTTATCATCCTCTTAAATGTACGGCCTGACAGCAGAGAGCAMGACTAAAAAGTTTGGTCATCTGTGTGGGTGTCTGCAAATGTATCTTCTGCAGGGATGAGGCGAAACCAGAGCCAGTCTGGTGGGACCACCACTGCGCTGGTGTGTRTCTGGGACAAGACGACACCAGTCACTGGGTCACTAAAGGGGATTTGTTTTGGCTTCAGWTTTGCATAACAGWAGAAGGCATGATGTTACAATCTTAGGTTAGGGCTGGTGCCAAACATTAAAATCATGTATAAAAGAAGGTTTACGTGCCAATAAAATAATGATCAGAGGAATCACCCATGACCATTACATCACAACCCCCATGGAGAGTTAGCCCATTTGACTCTAAACTGCCATCAACAGATTTGTAAATTGGAACTTGATGTYCCWAAGTATTGACCATTGAGTTACTATATTAGGAAAATCAATAAATTGTTGGTCCAGAAATAGAAAATGGCCACACACACAAAACTCAGGTTGCGCCTGAATGAATTAGGCTACATCTTGCACCCATGGGCGCAAAGGATGCGAGGTACACGTGGGACATGTCCCCTGCACTTCCTGGATCTGTGCCCTCTGTCTGGGGAGGTCAGACAGTGGGCGGAGTTGGACAACAATCAAGCAGCTGTTCTGAATAAAATGGAGGAACTACTGTATATGTAACTTTAAAAAAGTTCAAATATGAACCAACCAAAATTAGAAATTGTATTTGTTTAGTGTTTTTTTTTTTACTTTTTATAATAATAAACATATTTATTCATTTTGATTTTATTTATTATATACATATGTATGAGTGAAATAATATTTTTAACAAAAAAGGTAAATAAACTAACTACATACATATTAAACCACATACTTCCATATATTAAATGTAAAACAACACAAAAAACATAGCGTACATAGTTCACATGATTTCAAAACAAAAATAACTACACAATGAACAAATATAAAATATAAATAAACATACAAATATAAAAATAGAAATAGAGGCCACAGATAAAACATGCAGAATAAAGACAGGATACAGAACAACTAATCAGTCACAAATTTTCACTTACAATATTGAAAAAATGTCATCTTTCCAGTTGTCTTCAATGTTCTGGTCCCACTGTAAATAACTGTGTCTATGGAGAAAAGAGTCAAATCAAGTACTTCAAGAATCTTACCAAGTAAAATTTTCTTATTCCAGTGGCAGAATTTTTTTACTTAATTTGAGTCAAATTTTCCGATTAACAAGACAAATAATCTTACACATTCTGAAAACAAGATTATTATTCTTACACCATCAGTTCTTTTTAAGTAAATCAGTCTCAAAACAAGATCAAAAAGACTTTTTGGCTGGATTTAAGATTTTAAAACTTGATAAGATGGACAGTTTTTGCTGTGAACAGCATACTGTTGTTTCTGGTTATAGGTTCAATTGAATGCAAGATGAAACTTTGTCCCTCTTATTTCTGAGATGGTTAACTATGCCCTTACTTGCACCCCTCCCTCCCTTCCTCCCTCCCCCCAACCAGGAGCTCTGGATGAACCATGCCAGGGGGAGCTGGCCTCTCTGCCCATCCTTTCCCAGAGTTAATCGAAAGCTTTACCAGCTGTAGTTACAGTCACATTGGGGCGGAAGAACAGACAGAACAGATTGTGTGTTCATGGATTTTCTTATGGATTGACATCTTTTAAAATCAGATGAACTACCCATCTTGTGATGGGCTTTCAGTGACGTCAGTTTGCTCCTCCGTTAGTTTAGTCAAGCAGCAGCAGGTGGCAGAGGTGCAGGAAGAGCCCACCAGCTCAGCACTTATCACCAGGAGCAATGTGAGTTTAGATTGCAACACAACAGGCAGGTATAATCTGAGTTTGAAAGGTGTGTCTTATCTGCAAGACGGAGGTGTTCCTGGTGATGTGAAAGCTGCACATCCAACGCTCCTCTGGTACCTCCCCACCTGTCCACCTTATATGAAGTGGAGGGAGCAGCTGTCAGCCCGAAGCTCAGTTGAGCTTAGCACCAAGGAAGGATGAACTCACTACACCTGCCGCAGGTAAGCACACAGACAACATGGAATATAATAAAATATAAATGTAAATATAAGATTGTAAGTTTTGACTGTGTTTTACAAAACTTAAAGTATAGCTTTTGCAAATTGAACCCAAAAGTTTAGGAACAGACCTCATGTCTTTATAATAAAATCTCATTCAACACATAGACATCCTTACACTGAGATTATCGATTATCTAAAAGAATGGCTGCGGCCCAGAACTCGATATGTATCACATAAACCGAATGCTTAAAGGGCAAACAGTAATAATGCATGAAGGCAGATTATTTTATTGAAGGTTTAAGAATTAGATGCGATTCTAATTCTCAGAGTAGCAAGTCTGTAGCATTGATTTAACTTTGATTTTGTGGCAGTGATGTGTGAATGGAATTTTACAGCAGCCACATGTGACAACTAGATCAATAACCTGGCATGTGATGCACACTGTGGGTGTGTGTTTTGGAATGTCATGATATTGTTAAAATAATGTCTATTAGTGCAAAGTTTGTGTAGCTCTTCAGTTGTCCTGACTTGTTTGGTTGAACTGAGAATGTTTTGAGAAATGCTGATGAATCTGTAGATTTTGCCCAAACACATTTTTATATATGTATTTCCCCCCTATTTTTAGTCAGCTGACTCTCAGGATACGAGTAAAGAAGACCAGAATGAACAATTTGCAGAGAAGCTCAAAGGTCTTTTCTTTTTGCACCATTTGTAAAGCAAATTATTTGATGAATAACTAAGGAACTTAAGAAATAACCGTTAATCGAATTGTTTTCTGTAGATGTTGAGACAAGTCCTGCGTACTCCACCATGGCCTTGGTTCAGGAGGATTCAGAGGAACAGGATCCTTGGGATCTGCCAGAGCTGAAGGACACTGGGGTCCCGTGGTCAGGTGAGACCTTGTAGTTAACCTTGATTTGTTCATGTCTTGTTTAGCACTAAAAAATATGAAAACTATGTAAGATCCATCTTGACATCTACGCATCTAAATGTCTGAAACTTAACAAGCAGTAAAGCAGCTTGAGAATCATTTGATAGTTATTTTTGTTTCTGTCCCAATTTTTAAAAAAAAATCAAGGCATCAAATTGTGTGCTTGGACTGGGAATTTTTTGCTACGACTTTGGTGCAAAAATTCGCAAAAAGCTGCAAAAAATTGTTGCCCTCGCTTGAGATTTTATAGACGGAAGTGGGCAGTGACAAAGTATTTTTACTTCAGTATTGCACTTAAGTACAGTTTTTGAGAATTTGTACTTTACTTGAGTAGCATTTTTAAAAAAATCTTTTTACTTTTACTCTTCTATATTTTTTCGATAAAACCACATCTATGAATACTATATATATATATATA